ACTATGGAAGACATGGAAGGTATTTAGTGTTATGTCATGTCAGGAATCAGAAAACACAGTGCTGTTACACATTCATGCCTAACAGTAGTCTAACAATACACCAAATTATTCCAAATTATTAAGCAAGTGATATTTTCTCAGATTTTCCTAAATTGTCAATGCAAATGATGGTCAGTATAATTTTCAAGTCATGAACTATTACAGTATAAATCAAATTTTACTGAACAAAGCTCCCAATGAGAACAGTATATTTTTCAAAAATAAAAAAAAACTCAAAATGCACTGTTCCAAATTATTATGCACAGCAGATTTTCTAAACATTTGATGTATTATGAAGAACTGTAAACTGTCCTTTGAATGTGCAGCATTAAGTGGTCACATGTACTAAAATCAAAAGCTATTTCAATGTAAAACATCTTAACAGACAGAGTAACATGTTAACATAGGAGCCTTTCTTTGATATCACATGCACAATTCTTGCATCCATTGAACTTGTGAGTTTGTGGATAGATTATGCTTGAATTTCTTTGCAGGATTTTAGAAATTTAATCTTTAATTCAATTTGCGTATAATTTGGAACACGGTGGATCTGTAGCCCTGAGGAGTTTTGCATGTTTGTGGCTTTGGAGATTAAAGATCTCAATGCATCCTCCACCTCCTCTTCCCCCACCTGCACCTCTTCTTCCTATTTGTCCTCAGCTTTCCCTCACTGGGACTTCTCGTCGGACTCCGACGTGGGCTGTTCTCCTGGCAGTGACACGCTCTTGTGACGGTCCCACAGCTTATGGAGCTCTGTCGCCTCCGTCTTGTTCCTGCTGGTCACACTGTTCCGGAAGCTGGCCAGAGGCGGACGCAGCTTTGCGCCTCTTACTGTCACAGTGCCCTCGATGGCTTTGCGTAGCTGAAAGAATAAAGACAAGTTCAGAAAAACAAAAGGGAATGAAAAAAAGAGTTCGGAATAATGTTTTGGCTGATGTTCATCCTAAGTTGGAAAAGGACCCCAGAAATATACCCAGTCCAGTCCATCAGTTGGTTAAGTTCTACTGTTAGTTTCTTTGGGACTCTTTTTTTTGTGTCGAGTTAAACACTGATGTATTTTGATTTCACAAAAGGAAGACTTTTCTTTCTTTTAAATATGGAATATGTGAGGCCCTATATTGCACAAAGAATGTGTTTTGAATATCTTGCAAAAGCATTTAATATAACAGAACTTTATTGTATTTCTGAAAGGTGAATAACAGTTTTTACATCTGGAATTCTTTGGCTATTTGATTGAAATATTTTTCATTCACTCAATACACACTTTTTTGTTAAGAACTATGATTAGAGTAAAAAATTGGAATCCAGAAAAATTAAAATGCAAAATAATAATAATAAAAAAAATAGTTTTGGAAAAATAAAATGGATGTCAAAGTCCCTACATGTGTTTTACTGGAGCACGTGTCCTCGAAGGCGTTCTGGCAGGAGGACCATGGATGCTTTCAAGAAAAATCTGGTCTGTCTGACCAAGTGTCCGCATTTTTGGCATAAAGCTGAGAAAGCTGTTCTCAGTTGAACTCCACTTGGGCTGCAGGTTGTCACCAGTCCTATTTTTGCTTTGTGAACAAAATCTCAAGATATCAGAAGAGAGAGAGTGTGTGTGTGCGTGTGCGAGGGGGTGTTGTTTCAACTGAGTTTCAACTTTCTTTTAGTAGCTCATGTGGTTCAGTTGGCATCTCCAGGCCATGACTGTCAGCCTTCAGCAGAGCGTTGTTCAGCAGCCAAAAGTGAAGGAGATGATATAAGATTAAGCTCAATGGAGACAATAGATAAGAGACAGCAATTTGCAAGAGCCTTATGTCTGCCACAGTAAATCACAGGCAGAAAAGAGGAATCATTAAAGATGACTGAAAGGCCTTTGTGTAACTGTATGCTAGTTTAGTACAGCGACAGCTCCGCTGATGAGACAGTTTTAAAAACAACAAACGCGCCGTCAGTGCTAATGGATGTCACGGATATGAGCAGAATTCGATTCTGCAATGATTATAGATCAATTCTCACAAAAAGGAGGAAAAAACCAGACTTACCTCCTTGAGGGAAACCACCCCGATGAGACGGCCGATGCTGGTGACGTAGGCGTGGTCGAGGCCCAGCAGGGAGAAAATGGTGTGAGTCTACGGGAGATGAAAGATGGAATTAATCTTTAGATCCAACCAGAACCTTCACAGAGACAGCTCTGTGAATGTTTCAGGCTTGAAATGGAGCTCATTTAAGGAAATGCACCACTGACTTTAATTATCCAACACTTCATTCACAAGACACTCACTGAACATGTTCAGCTAAATTGGATACAGATACTTTGGACATCCCTGGACACACTTCCAAGAACATTCACACTTTAAAAAGGGAGAAAAAAAAATACTATCCCTGCAGTTGCTAATTAGCCAAAGCTAATTACCTTCACAGTTGGAAAATTGGATCCTTTTAAACCGCACATAAAAAAAAAAGCTTTTGTTATCTTAGCTATGGAACAATAATGAACCAAATTTTGTAGCAAAGCATCTTTATTAGCGCAGTAGGCAACACAAGAGGTTTAACAGCCACATAAGAGCTGCAACTGTATGTGGAGATGCCAAATAGCTAGAAGCTAAAAATGGAAAGCTGAACAGAGGAACCAACACGTGTTGAAGTGAGATAAAAGTGAAATCTTGTGGTTCATTATCAGCCTGTTTCAAAACTTTTGGAATGATCAGACACTTGACAATTCAGCTGCTGAGAGGCTAATTATATAATTTTTATTTAACAATTAAAACTGAAGAANACAAAAAGATAAATACAAAACATGAAAAATCTCCCCAGAAACAAAAAGAGACGAGTCAACCAGGAAGATTGGTTAAAACACAAGATCATGATTTCAGATTACAGGAATGATATTAAATATATTAATCTGTAAGTTTCTGAGCCCACAAAGACTCCAATACCCGGTTATAAATCAGGAAACGAATAAAGATTACTGGATAAGAGGGAGACACAGCAGAATGGCAGAAAATACAGGCACAGGATGGCAAATCCAAGACATCATTCATCCGGCCAATTGTCTGTTGCTTTTGGTGCGTTTTGATCGCATAAAATAAATGCCACATGCTTTCTCTCATGCAAAGCTATGCTTTGTCGCTGCAGACACTTCCTATTCTGCAGAACCAAACAAGAAAAGATGCTAAAATCTATTTAAAACCACTGAAGACATTGGGAGGCTGGGAGAGTTTTTATAAGGCAATAGAATGGTGGCAAAAATCTTTGCCTGGTCCTAAGGCATGCGTTTAGGATGTTTAGGACAGGACGGAGAAGCTGGAAGAAATGTTTTTCTCTTAATGAACAGAAGGAACTATGGAAGACATGGAAGGTATTTAGTGTTATCTGTCATGTCAGGAATCAGAAAACACAGTGCTGTTACACATTCATGCCTCAGAGTCGTTAACAGTAGTCTAATAATAATGCAGCAGCTAAACTCTAGTTATTTTGTCCAACTGAACAAGTTAAATCACTCCCTGTTGGTCCGTTATAGATTTCGGTCAGTGGTTTTAAGCAGACAATGAATATTTCATCAGCATTTTGTACCAGTATATAAGTGCGGTTTGTGTTGTGTCTGAGGTGATATAACAGCTCACATAGCGATTAAATTCAGATTGATGAGTATCCAGTCTTCCAGACAAGCATTTGATTCCTGTCCTTCCTCCCTCCCGTCCTCCTCATCTTCCCCAACTCTCTCAGAAACTGAAAGTCAGATTTAAATAAGCAGAGAACATCCACCGTCTGAGTGCACTGCTGCAAAGTGTTTGTGTGCGTTTCAGCCTCACGTCACTTGAGGCCAGAGCTACAGAATAAAGGGAGTGTACACCATGGTGCCAATAGGCCTGGCTGCTCGCTGCACTCGACCTAATCGCTAGGACGTGCAGTGGAGGGGTGAGCATGCACAGGAAAAGACATAAACAACAAACTACTTCAGCATCTGTCCCTTTATCAGTTCAATGCTTGGTCGTGGGACAAACTGATTCTTCCAGACCTCCTGATTTATCAAGACTGAACCTCGTCACAAAGGACAATAAAGACTGAAATTTGTTCTAAAGGCAGTAAAAAAAAAAAAAAAAAATCCTATACGATAGAGTCTATGCTGCCCTTTTCATGCACACATTTTTCTCCTTTCATACATTCACACTCCCAGTACACACAAACATTACAGTATTCTTCCTTGTTGAATTTCAGGACTCAAGTGGAAGACTTGCTTGACATATTTTGCATCTTCAAACCTTGATTCAAACTCTAAACACAAGCAAAAATAAAATAAAATAAAGTCTACAAAAAAAAAAAAAAATCCCTTTTTAAAAACTCAGACCCAGCTTTGGAGGAGACAAACACGATACACTGTGGAACCCCAAGGGTAAATGGAGAGCCGGGGCCAGGTAGGTGTTTATGTCTTCCTGTGGAGTGTCTGGCTGGGCCACAGCAAGGCTCCTGGAGGAAGCACAGGGTGAGTAAAGAAGCCGAGGAGGTGGTGCTGGAGGAGGTAGAGTGGCAGATGAGGAGAGAAGGGAGAACGGCATAGCAGAACTTTCTATACTTAAATAATGATCTGTAGCCCTGAGGAGTTTTGCATGTTTGTGGCTTTGGAGATTAAAGATCTCAATGCATCCTCCACCTCCTCTTCCCCCACCTGCACCTCTTCTTCCTATTTGTCCTCAGCTTTCCCTCACTGGGACTTCTCGTCGGACTCCGACGTGGGCTGTTCTCCTGGCAGTGACACGCTCCTGTGACGGTCCCACAGCTTATGGAGCTCTGTCGCCTCCGTCTCGCTGCTGCTGGTCCCACTGTCCCGGAAGCTGGCCAGAGGCGGACGCACCTTCACACCTTTTACTGTCACAGAGCCCTCGATGGCTTTGCGTAGCTGAAAGAATAAAGACAAGTTCAGAAAAACAAAAGGGAATGAAAAAAAGAGTTCGGAATAATGTTTTGGCTGATGTTCATCCTAAGTTGGAAAAGGACCCCAGAAATATACCCAGTCCAGTCCATCAGTTGGTTAAGTTCTACTGTTAGTTTCTTTGGGACTCTTTTTTTTGTGTCGAGTTAAACACTAATGTATTTTGATTTCACAAAAGGAAGACTTTTCTTTCTTTTAAATATGGAATATGTGAGGCCCTATATTGCACAAAGAATGTGTTTTGAATATCTTGCAAAAGCATTTAATATAACAGAACTTTATTGTATTTCTGAAAGGTGAATAACAGTTTTTACATCTGGAATTCTTTGGCTATTTGATTGAAATATTTTTCATTCACTCAATACACACTTTTTTGTTAAGAACTATGATTAGAGTAAAAAATTGGAATCCAGAAAAAATTAAATGCAAAATAATAATAATAAAACAGTTTTGGAATAATAAAATGGATGTCAAAGTCCCTACATGTGTTTTACTGGAGCATGTGTCCCTGAAGGCGTTCTGGCAGGAGGACCATGGATGCTCTCAAGAAAAATCTGGTCTGTGTCTGACCAAGTGTCAGCAGCCAAAAATGAAGGAGATGATATAAGATTCAGCTCTTTGAAGTCAGACATCATGGTTTTCAACCAGAAATAGGTGGGCTGCCCTTTTCCTGGTGGGGCTATATTTGCCTTCTTGCCTAAGAACAAGAAGGAGCTGCAGAGTGCTGATAGGGAAAGGGGTGTGTGGGTTTCCCTCCAAAATCTTTTACCACTTATAATCAGATTTTGGGATTTGAGGAGGACAATGGAAATATGGATGGATTGATGCACTGCTGAGATATAATTAATAGAAATGCAGGACAAAGTACAAGTCTTTCAATTGGACAGACAAAGGTAGGTTTAGCTTTTTTAGCTTCTCATTTATTAGTCACAGAAAAGTATGGCATCCACTTTATTTATGCTAATCATCAATTACAGGAAGAAATCCTTATTTCATCTAAAATTTGTTTCTGACTGATTTTTATCCAAACCAGGCAAGTGGTTATTTAACAAAAAAAAAGAAAGAAAAAAACACTTTTACACTTGAAACAGTTTTCAATGTGCTTGCTTCAAATTCACACAACTTTTTCAGTTAAAAAAACAACAGTCTTTCTGTTTGAGGTTGAAAACAACACAAGGAAGAAATTTGGTGATTTCTTCATCATATGTGCTAAACATATTGTGATATAATAGGAATGTCTGTAAAGGAGAACAGCTTTTGTCTGCTATGGACTTTTTGTCTGATAGCGGAACAAAGCACAAAAAAGCTTTAAATGTCAGGGTCCGGAAAGCAGTGCCTGCACTTAGCAACAGCCCTCTCTCTACTTCCTGGCCAACTGAAAAAGAGTGAGGTTTTGAGCTGTTAGGGAGGCAGGAGATATGTAACGAGAGGGACGTGGGCAGAGGACAGACGGAGACAATAGATAAGAGACAGCAATTTGCAAGAGCCTTATGTCTGCCACAGTAAATCACAGGCAGAAAAGAGGAATCATTAAAGATGACTGAAAGGCCTTTGTGTAACTGTATGCTAGTTTAGTACAGCGACAGCTCCGCTGATGAGACAGTTTTAAAAACAACAAACGCGCCGTCAGTGCTAATGGATGTCACGGATATGAGCAGAATTCGATTCTGCAATGATTATAGATCAATTCTCACAAAAAGGAGGAAAAAACCAGACTTACCTCCTTGAGGGAAACCACCCCGATGAGACGGCCGATGCTGGTGACGTAGGCGTGGTCGAGGCCCAGCAGGGAGAAAATGGTGTGAGTCTACGGGAGATGAAAGATGGAATTAATCTTTAGATCCAACCAGAACCTTCACAGAGACAGCTCTGTGAATGTTTCAGGCTTGAAATGGAGCTCATTTAAGGAAATGCACCACTGACTTTAATTATCCAACACTTCATTCACAAGACACTCACTGAACATGTTCAGCTAAATTGGATACAGATACTTTGGACATCCCTGGACACACTTCCAAGAACATTCACACTTTAAAAAGGGAGAAAAAAAAATACTATCCCTGCAGTTGCTAATTAGCCAAAGCTAATTACCTTCACAGTTGGAAAATTGGATCCTTTTAAACCGCACATAAAAAAAAAAGCTTTTGTTATCTTAGCTATGGAACAATAATGAACCAAATTTTGTAGCAAAGCATCTTTATTAGCGCAGTAGGCAACACAAGAGGTTTAACAGCCACATAAGAGCTGCAACTGTATGTGGAGATGCCAAATAGCTAGAAGCTAAAAATGGAAAGCTGAACAGAGGAACCAACACGTGTTGAAGTGAGATAAAAGTGAAATCTTGTGGTTCATTATCAGCCTGTTTCAAAACTTTTGGAATGATCAGACACTTGACAATTCAGCTGCTGAGAGGCTAATTATATAATTTTTATTTAACAATTAAAACTGAAGAAAATCTGTCATGATGTAAATTTTCATGCTACCAGACATGAACATCTTACCCTATGCATAATATACATGAGGGATGTGCCGAAATAAAAATTTGGCTCGATATTAACATCCAATATTAATATTGCTGTTAAGACAGATAAGTGATTGTACTATGGTGGCCAAGATGCACAAACACACTGCAAACAGGTGTAAACGCACAGCAAATGCCTTATTGCTGAAATGTGCTATAAATAAACTTGACTGATTGATTTGAAAATGAGCTGCAAACAAGTTAATTATGCAAATTCCCAAACACACAAAAACAAGAAGCAAATGAAACAAATACTGCAAACAGAAATTCCTGCATTCGCAGAAAAAAGAAGCAAAAACATAAATAACAGAACAAATTCAAATGAAGAATGCTGCAATCATAAACAACACGCTGGACCCAGACAGAGCTGCCTAATGGAGTCAACCTTACATAAAAAGCCACTAAGCCTTTCTATTTTAGCTGGCTGCTCTGTAATTTTTTTTCTGATGAACTGCTGTTATTTTATAGTGCCACTGGTGAGGCTGTGAGATGAGCAGACTGTTGCTTTCAGTCAAATGGTTATAACAGCGATAAATACCTGGCAACAAGCTGATGGACTTGTTTGATAAATATCTAAATCTAAAAAAGTAGTGAGATTTATTGCCAAAAGCTAAAGAATTAACAGAGCCATTGCTAGAACCTAATAATGAAAAAAAAAAACAACAACAAAAAAACACAAAAGAACAAAATACAAAAAAAACAAAAAACATTCAGCTTAAACTTCTTAAAGCACTAAGGTCTATTCACCCTGATTTTACCAAAAAAAGATGAGCTTCAGACAAATTACAGCAGGATGAGGTAGTAGGACTGCTTCTAGTGCCTTTATCCAGTAGATCTATGGAATTGTTAGCCTTGGCAAGGCCAAGTCCCGGTCTGTCTCTGTCTCCTGTGGTGTCCCACAAGGGTCATTCCTAGGGCCCCTGCTATTTTCCCTTTACTTGCTGCCTTTGGGTCAAATCATTAATCGGCACAACATCTCCTTTCATTGCCATGCTGATGATATACAACTTTACATTAGAACTGGAGCATCATCACCACCATTTTCACTCACTGCCTTCACTACTTGCCTGGAAGAGATAAGGACGTGGATGAATCAAAATTTTCTTCAGTTAAACTGCTCCAAAACTGAGGCCATATTGACTGGCACACCTCACCAGGTTCAATCTTCAACTTTGACGACTATTTTTTTTTTCTGAACAAGACATCCCCCTTTCCACCACTGTTACAAATCTTGGAGTAAGAATGGATTCTCATCTAACATTTGAAAATCATAATAAGTATCTGTTTAAAACTTGTTTCTTTCATCTTCATAATACCTCCAAAATTCGACCATCTTTCTTTCTCTGATGCCGAGTCTCTCGTCCATGCCTTTATCTCCTCCAGGCTCGACTACTGCAACTCTGTTTGTTGGAATCCATAGAAAACATCTTCAGAAGCTTCAATACATTCAAAACAGCGCAGGAGGGATTCTACTGAGAGCCCGTAAATCTGACCATATTACATCTATTCTGCATGATCTTCACTGGCTTCCTGTCACCTACAGAATTCAGTACAAAATCGCTCTCATTACCCATCAATGTTTAAACAGAACTTCACCGGATTATCTGAAGGACCTTCTCATTCCACATTCATCCACCAGATCTCTACGATCACAAGACTGCAGCTTCCTCCACCTTCCTCGTTCCAGATTAAAGACCATGGGAGATTGGGCATTCGCTGTGGCTGCCCCCCCGTCTCTGGAAATCTCTCCCAGATTATTTGAGAGCTCCGCAACCACTGGTTGACTTTAAAAGAAAGACTTTTCTATTTAAGCAAGCCTATTCTGCCTCCACATGATTTTTATGATGCTGATTTCATCTATGATTTTAGTTGCACTGTGTAGCACTTTGAGATTTTTGCTAATGAAAAGTGCGGTACAAATTAAATTGATTATTATTGTTATTATTATTAATTGGGTTGACTGATGAATGGCAAAAAGCTTTTTCATATGCAACAAAAAACCAACCTCATTCTTTATTAATGGGTAGTAATCTCCATTAATATGTTGAACTGAACAGAAACTACTAAAGCAACCCCAGGTCTGTACTGCAGGCAGTGGGTAGGATGGACCCTCTGAATATACTCTTTCCAACTAAAATGTTTCTTCAGTATCACCACTATTCTTCCATATTTTAACAATTATTATAAAATAATTTTAGCTTAAACAACCCTGTTAGTATCTTTGTTTGTTTGGATGACAGAAAACATTTAGATCCGCCTGAACATTACCATTTTCACCAGAACCAAAGAATGTGTTCTTTAACACGACTCTTGAAGGAATGAAGCTGCTCATTACATAAATTAGGTCAGAATTGTTGCCAACAAAATGCTTTAATCCCTCCAGTAGTATTTTACTAGGCATTTCCTTATCCAGTTAACAAAAAAGCTTTTCTTTTTACCCTGTTTGTTGCTCTGTAATTGTAAAAGTTGAGTATTAAGTGGTTGAACTTTAAGATGTATGCCAATAATGAGAGAATAATAACGAGCAGAATGTCTACTGTTAACCTTTAATTTAATTCATAGTTCAAAAATCAAAACAGCAGAAATAAAATAGATAATGGAGATTGTTATTATTTTTTGTGTGTGTTATTTAACACTAATACCATACTGTTATTCAGTTATGGTCAAATGTTAAACATTAAGAAATACATCAAATAAAACAGCTCCTTTATTCTAGTTTTTCTGCTTTAATCAAAAGCAGTTACATGGTGATATGTTTATTCAAGGTCATCATACTTATGCCTATTTGTTGAATTATAGTATTTACACTGGAATAGGGTGAATTTGTGCAGCTAGAGAAAAATAAAAAGACTGAATCTTCAA